AATTCAATATTACTAAATCGAAGACTAACCGATAGTCATTTCTCGAGTGCAAACGGTTAATACCTACAAGTAGCAACACTTGCCGAAAATATAAGCGACTCTCAATACGCAGGGAACGCGTTAAACGCGCGCTCGAATCCGTGACCTCTGTCCAAGGGTTAAACGCATCAACCGATCCAGCCGTGGACGGACAATACCTTTTTAAGCCGGTCAAAAAGGGGCGCGATAAAGGGCGTTCTTTCTACGCGCGTGTTGGGCTCCCGCTGCGGTTAACGCCCTTTTCCCGATGGAAGTAGGCAACACCGCGGAGACACAACCGGCCGTTATAAATTACCGCGACGCGTAACGCGTTATGCGCCAGGAATGTTGCATGGTACACGCTCAGAATCAACTCGCATGTGACAACCGAATTTCTGGCATCGAGTTGCCGAAGATACTATGAACTTTGTTTTAATATTGTATTACCGTTGAAGGCCAACTTATATTTTCATGACTTGGATACGCCAGTTTCTGTCTAATTCTCGTGTAACAGCGGTACGTAAGGGATATTGGTCGTACAAGTTAAATGGAATGAGCTAGGAATTCTTATCTGATTTGATAACGAATTACCAACTTTACCTCTTGTAATGGTATTCCTGCGAATAACGGAATCAAAAAATGCATCGTATTTTGTTGAAGTCTGTACTTTACTATTCCTTCAAGCTTCCTCGAAAATCCGCAAATCCTCAAAGGTCTATTGGGAAGCAAATAATACTTGTTTTGAGGTAACCACTGAACCAACATCCCCTACATACAATTGGAGCAACTTCTTCATTAGCCTTAAAATCCCTTTTAATGACTAAAGGCTGTATATTCCATCAAATCCATGAAGAAAAGAGAAATCTTCTCAATCGAGCGACACGAGAGGCAGCAAGAAGGTGAACTCTATCCACACGAAAAGTTAATTACGCAACTCCTCGCAGCCTTCCTGCCGTCCTCCGTCCCCTCGTCCCTGCGGACACGCGTTCGCCTCGCAATAACACGCATCGTACACGCGTAACCAGCACACGCAACCCCGAAACGTTCCGATTTCCCTGCGTCCATCGGGATCGATCGATCGCGACCTGACCTACAACGCGCGGTACGCGCGACAGTTCTGGGATTGCTGGGGGTAGCCGCGGACCGTGCCAAAGCAGATCGAAGCATTCGTTGCGTCCAGGAACAAGGAGGTCCGAGGCAGCTGCGATTCGGTCCAGATCGCGGATCAGGCTGCACTCGGGGTCGCTGATGAAACCAGTTCACAGCCGAAATTCACGGTCGAAAGGATTGGGGGGAGTTTCTCCAGTTAGGGTCGAAGCTTAAAGTTTGCCCTGTAGATAAAGAAATAACACTGTTCGTTCGTGGATTACTTGAAAGAAGATGCTACCGAAGTGTAACGAATAGCTAAAAAGAAACAACAGTAATATCTCTTCCAAATTGCAAAATACTTACAAATTACAGGGTAATTGTCCTGCTAAAGATCCCGCAAAATAATGATCTGCTCAACAGCCAGAACATCGGCACCAAGCACGATATTTGAATCATCAAGCTTCCCATGACATCATCATTTGCATCAAGATGGAGACTCAGTATATTAATCCTTAAATATGTAAGTTACAATTGAAATTCGAAGCGTCTTCTTCCGAGGGTCCCAACCCAATCTAAAACCGGGATGCTATAACGCAACATAATCTTAAACAGTAAATACATGTTCCCTCCAACCCTAAACAACAGCGTAATACATGTGAATCATTTACACCGCGATTGTAAGTATTTCAACGTATTTCAAAGTGCACTGATAGAAACGTGTACCAGTCATCTGAAAAGGGCTAAAAAGGGCGATCCCCAAAGAGAAACCCACTGATCCATCTCTTCCATCGTGAACAGCGCAGCTCAGGAGTCACGCCGATAGACGGCGGCGTAGGACGAAATAAGCGAATCAGCAGGTCGTTGTCGTAATTCTGGCTACGTCACCGGTATGCTGCCCCTCTACACCCGGCCGGGGGATGGTGTGTACACCCCTCGTGTAGAGGGGCATAACGAAACGGCGCGGCGGCGGCGAGAAGGAAGACGGAGAGAGAGGAACGGACGCGCGGCTGCTGCTGGGGGCGAGAGACCAGACCTAGCCAGACGAGGCGTAGCGAGGCGAGCGGGGAGGCGGTGAACCTCGTTGGAGGGGTGGGTTGGATGATGCTGGCTGGCAGGTGGGGTAGGCGCGGAGGGATACACTACCGCCGGAGCGGCAGCGCGGAGGGAACGGGTAGGACAAGGGTGGGCGGGAGAGAGAGAGACCGGTGGTGGTGAGAGGAACGCGCGGAACGCTTTATGAATGAATGTTTCCACGCCAAGTGTGGCGAGAGAGAG